GGGAACCATCTCACGGGATTTCGTGACTCTGGAAGCGGATTCAAGGAAAACCTTCTTGCCGTGCGCGGCCAGTTTGTCAACATCGGGGAAGACGAGACGGATTTTTTCGGCTACTCGATGCAGCGCGTCCGCTGCACAGGTCGAATGTAGCATTCTCGGGAAAAGGACTTTGAGGGCCTTGCCTGCCTTCTTCATATAGGCTGCACCATCCGACACGAACAATAGAACCTTGTCGGGATCAACTTGTTCGGGCCAGAGAAGTCCTAATGAGCTCATGAAGACCTGAGAGATCGTCGTACTGTTTGTCGCTTCGAGATTTTCTGCGTGCAGGAGGAACGATTTGCTTGCCTGGGCTTCTAAGGTACCGACCACTACGTGAGCCACGAAGCGACCCATGGCGTCCGTAGTTTCATTCACGGGAAGCCAAATGGATTTGCCGTGAACGTAGCTCCTAATGAATTCCAGTTTGCTTTGGTACACATCCCGAATGTGATTCTTGGGCAGGGCGACCGAACAGGGCGTTCGCTGAGTGGAGTACTCCTCGCAGCGAGCTCGCAGCTTCTCATTGTTCAATTTATACAGAAGTATGCCGGCTGACAAGAATGCATCGCAAAGATCCAGATTGAATTGAGATTTCTTGCCCGATGCCTCGAGGTATGGAATCATCTGTTCGACGACGATTTGTGTCGGACTCCATTCACTTGCTGCACACACATGACTAAGAACTTCTTATCGACTAAGACTCCTCGTTCACAGGCTTTGCAGAATAAAACTTGACCATCAGAGAAGAGTATCTCCTTACCAAAAAGTTTCACGTACGTTCCCAGTCTCGACCTTGTGGACGGTTTTTCTCTCGGCATCCTCGAGGCGGCACTGTAATCGCTCGACTTGGTCGCGAAACATGCATTTTGAGCCGAAATTGACCCGATCATGTATGAGTTTCAGCTCTGAATGATTGCTGACCCGATACGAGTCACACCCACAAATGCACAATGTCATAGGATATCATATGACAATATCATGGGGGTCCAATTATGACCGGCTATCGGTAGTACGAATCTTCTTCGTTCAGTGATTCAAAGATCGAATCCCGATAGTGTTCAGAGCTTTGCGGATTCTGTCACATCAATAGATTATACCTCCCAACTCCCACCATGACGAAGATGCCCCCCGCGAGGGGAAGATGGACAGACGAGGGAAACAATGATTTGTATCTATATTGGACTCTCCTCTTCCTTCAGGGAATTCATTGAAGCGCGAGAAAATCGACTCGGAATTTTCACCAACATGCCTACAGGGCAATGACGTTTCCGCGGCAGGCTTCAGTCCTAGATAGAGCGCGCTGCTGGAGGACAGTCTGAGCATGGGAATTCTAATGTACTCTCGGCACAGAACCTCCGAGCCGGCCCAGGTCTACGAAAACACCCTGACTCTCTGGAGGACACAATCTTCCCGATAGAGAACGTCCGCGAAAGCTGATTGGAGATAGAACTGGATCCGGTAAGTGAACCAGAATCAAAACTCGACGGTATTCGGTCGAGAGACATAGGGAGGAAACTCAAAATAAAAGCTTGACGTCAGAAACAAGTCGGTGATCACCGAAGATGGTCGGTGCCAGGCAGCGAGCCCCGGAAGCCGCAAGACATGAGCTCTGCACAGGGAAAGAGGCCATTTATATTTTCACAACCTCACGCACTTTATGAATTGAGAAGTGATGATCAAAGAAGGTCATCCGAACGGAATCGTGAAAGTTTCTTCTGAATGATCGTTTCGTTCCTCGTTCAGGATTCGGTCTGACCGCAGCTGATCGAAGCATGAACAGCCGAAGAGGGATCCACGGGTCTCAGCTCTGGTCGAATCGATCCGTCTCTCCTTTCAGCGCTGATCGCCGCTAAGGGTGAAGAAGTTCCGACGACACTCACCTACGCCGCTCAGGATCGCCGCTAATGGCACTGCAGCTCTGATGAGATGCACGCGGGTCTTGTATCGAAGTATATCACCTTTCTTCTTCGCCTCAGCCTCGAATCGCATGACAACACACTGCACCACAAGGATGACTGCGAAGCACGCCTTGGCTAATTTGTCCAAGTTTCTCATTTTTGACTCGAATCAAAACTACCCGGGAGCTCGCTTTTAGCTCGTCAAGATCGTGGTATCAAAGTGAAGGACCGTATCGGACATTCAAGCTCTGCGAAGAAGAGCGATGGCTCTGACCGCCGTCGGGGAGGGAATTCGCTAACGTAACTCGCATCACGCGAGGAAGAATCTTCCCCAAAGTTCGACATAGGTGTCCAACTTCGCATGCCCAGCGAGCCAGATCCGGTACACACCGCGTCTACTGAATGATCTTGCACCGATGGGAGCCGGCACGGACATCTAGCTCGGACGTTAGTTCGGTCCCGAAATCCTATGCTTCAAGCCTATCCTCCGACTTCATCTATCGAATCATATCTGCGCTGCTTTCGGCACGAGGCGGAATTCATAGATTTCCTTCCCACCTCCAGCTAGATTCGATCACCGGCTGAGGCGAACTGGAACCGTGTCTCAATATGACACGTCTGAACGACGACAAAATGCTTTAATGGAACCTGGGCATTTTTCGGAATCATTACCGAATTACCAGCGTCACCAGCGTCATGACCCGATCCAGAATCCTTCCGAATCCGAAGAACGGACACAGGGTCATGACAACACGGCTCGGAATCCCTCTGATTGTTGGAAAGGAAACCTGGCTCGCGATCGTCCCCCGTCGATTCATTTGACAAAGAGTCATCAAAAATAGCAGGTGAAAGGAAGAAGAGTCGAAATACTAGTTTTAGCATGCAAAACGCCCATAAGAAACATTAGATGGAACCATCGGAGTGAAGTCATTATTTCAGACAATTTCGATGGGTTCTACACTCGCGCAACACGAAGCTCCCTTGTTACTCCAGCCGAATTTTTGTTCGCCAACGATACCATAATGGTTTAGGAAGGCAACTTTCTCAGAAAAATCGGTAAGAACCCATTGTTGTTCAATCTCCTTCCGCAAGAAGCCCTCATTGACGCGCCAATCTCACGTCTCCCTGAGGGAAGCTTGAGCGTTGATCTTCACCGGGCAAAATCGCGGTTTACGAAGGCACGGTCACGATTCTAACACAATCCCTCGAAGACGTGTTACATCAAGCACCGGAGAGGAAATGTCATTGCAGCCTCTTAGCTTGGGACTGAAACGTCTTGATTCATTTCCCCATTCTGCCGTAGCTCCAGTTCGAGGAGCGCATGCGACGCGTCCGCGAGAGGACTCCTCAATCCCTCCCCCCCTCCTGTATGATAGCCGGATGCCGTGACACTAATGCAATCTATTGAGGTTGGCTTTTCGATGTCAATCATCACTAATTCTAGATGTTGGTGCCACAAGACCCAAATTACCCGTCGGGTCGGCAGGGCGGATGTAGAAGGACGCTTGTTCCCGGGCGCAAAAATTCAGGGGCCCAGAATCTCGATTATTCGCCGCAGCAAAAGCGAGAACAGCAACATTGATGTAGATACACATATGGTGTAAATCAGGGCTGTCAGACCTGGAGTTTCTGGCGGGCGCCGGAAAGCTCGCAGGCCACCTTATAAATCTACCATTGCAAGAGCGTAGTATTAATGAGGCCTCCGACTCGAAGAATGCAAGGGACCAAGCTTCACATGATTTGCGTAGAATCTTCAAGAGAAGGCTACTATAAATTGTTTCAAACTCGGGACAGATTCCAGCCTCTGTTGCCGGCCGGTGAGTGAGTGGGGGTGTTACCCTTTATGTCTATGAGCTGAGAGGCGGGCGAAGCATTTGGAAAATCTCGTCGGAGTGCGGTAGTGTGTAGTGTCGGTAGCCATTCGTTTCTTTCCTGGGGCTCTTCAATCAGGAGCAGGAGCTTCGAAAGGACATTCTCGTCTAGGAATCTAGTCGGAATGGGAGCACCACTCAGAGATGCTTTGGATCTTCGCGGGCCGACGAATCCCAAGAACTTCGCTCCCGATGACCTGCATCTGTCGCAGCTCCTGTCATGTATTCACTCCTTCATGGGTCATGGTGTTATGACTTATGACCCGAGGCCTCAATTCAGCACGAGATGCTGTGAGCTCGAATTGCGCGGAATGCTTCAGACAGACAATGTTGGTCAGGTTCAGGTCTCAGCTCATCCTCTCGTGGATCAAGGATCAAGGCATGGCAAGCATTCTCGCCTTCCGCTCGAACGATACGTCTGGAAATCTCTCCTCAGGAGGCAAGCCGGGGATTCGGAGCAAGGCTCTATTCCAACTTCGAACATCGGACCCGGGAGTCTCCGGCATTCTGAGCTCAGCCTCCGACTTTCTCCATAGAACATCGTCACCGGCCCACAGGTCATCGAATAGATATACTCGGAAGAAAGAAACTCGTTTTCTCCGGCCTGATGTATCGCGCACTAACCCATCTTTCAAAAGGATAGGCAGCTGGGCTCGAGCCCTCTTAGCGAATTATCTCGGCTTGGGGTCTGAAGTTCGAGGAGATTCTCCTCGAGGAGAACATATCCGAGTTGCTCGTGTGATCTGTAACTGGTCTGCAGAGCGCGACTCCTCGCTTTCGGTCACCCACTCATGGCAGAAGCTGTTCGGCAGGCTTGCAAGACTGAGCTCCGCGTTGGTTTCTTATCAGCGAGGCTGCAGTCTCGGCAGAAGATAAGGACCTCGCGCTTCAATGTAGGTAGTCATTGGCGAGGTTCGAGCTCCCAGGATAGCATTTAAGCCAATGACAACCCTCCGGGCTCTCGGGGGCGGAGCCTCGGTCCTGGGGCGTGGCCTCTCTCTCGCTGGCTGACTGGCCAGCCTAGGATGGAGACCGGTCATGGAGATCAAAATGTTATGCTCTTCAAAATGAAAATTTGTTTGACTTGCTTTGCGAGCTGACACAGTGTCCTGCAGCTGGGTGACCCGGAGAGACGTTTCCAGCCGCGGAAATCTGTGCACATTCGTCAACGAGATTAGCTTCCTCAAACATGCCGCATTCGGGTGAGTTTATATTGTAATCCCCAAACGCTAACGAAAAGATGTCCGGGGAAAGCTATTCCCCAGTGTGAAGTTCAGAGATCTCGCTTCATACGAAGAGAGAATGTCATCCGAAAGCTGCGATGGACACTGGCTGACGTAAAATCGAAGATTCCCGAATGCTTCGATCTCCTCCCGCATCATTTTGCTTCGCTATGCGTGTCGGAATGCTTCACGGAGTCTTCCCGAAGTTAACTATCGTATGCCTAAGAGTCCGGAATTCGCCGGAAGAGGGCTCCAGCCCCGCTTGCGAACCAGGCATATTCCCGATGAAGCATGGTGCCCCACACAACTCATTACTTTTTATCGGCTCCGTGCTCTTCCCGAACCAGGTCACGTATGAATGATGGTGTAATCTTCGCGGAAAGCCCGGGCGTCATGTCGATGGAGCGTTTGCTTGTATTCGCCACACCTTTGGAAATGTGCGTTCTCCGAGGAGGATTATTCGATCTCGCCAAGTTCCCGCCAGAAAGGTTTTAAAATGATTGCGGAATACGATTCCGACAACCCGTGGGCGGGAGATTGAGTTGTCCCTTGCGGTGTGGCTGAGCTATTCGAAAATTTTCTCCTAACTCTTCACAAGTGCATTTGGCTGTAGGTACCCTTCCGAGTTACTGCGGTAGCTCGAGCCTTTGATTCGCAGGAATATGGACCGGAAAGCACGAAGAAAATACTGTAGGCTTCGACGTTTGATGGCCTTGAATCACGAATACTGTTGTTTCCAAATGTAAGCCCCAAAGATTGCCCAGGCACGGGACTTATTCAGCAGAATGCAGGACTTGAGGAGACCTGTATGTGGAACGCTGGCCTCAACAGCGGACTCGAGAGCAGGTGCACCCGAGATGCCAGTCCGCAGAACAAGCTCGCGAGCTGCAGACCTGAGTTTTGCGGAGGGTTACATGGGTGACTCCGGAAGCGATGTTCCACGGCACCTCGCCTCATTCCGGTGCTGAAATTTCAACTTCTCCGTCTCCACTCTTACCGCGAATTGCGGCGGCTTGCGCACCCAGCTCCGCTTGGCCATAGCTCGAAGAGCCTTTGCCGGGGCTCGCCCGGAAGAAACACGAGCCAACCACAGTTCCCGTACGAATTAGCCGGCAGACGGCTTGTAACCAGGATGGGGAGGATGCTTTGTCACTGCCTATGAGTATTCCATCTTTCTATACTTCCCTATACTGCACCTACTTGATATGGAGAGGGGGAGGTGCTCGGAGCTCTCTTTTCGTATTTGTCAGCTTCAGGGGATGAAGGAAGGGCATTGCGACGCGCGATACGTTTTGCATTAACCGCCGTACCTCACGCAGGTGCTGATCCCGCGCCTTGTTCGTGAAAATCGTCTCGTGAACGAACGCGGTGACGGAGTGCGTGGGCAGCGTGACGGCAGATCCGAGCCAACCATCTCCCACGCAACACAACTTTCTGCCCATGGCCAGCTCCGGTAATATGAATTCACGGAAGATGCGCGAATCGTTCATCGCGCTGTTACGTCCGGAGGTGATTTCTGGGACTCGGAAAAGATCGTCTTAGGTTCCGAGGCAGAACTCGCATACGAAAGCACCCCCTCGCGACAAATCAGAATGTCTCGATGAGGTCATGTCGCGAAAGAACGTCTAAGAGCGTTCCTCGAGTTCTCGGGCTCCATGGAACTAGCGGTACGAAAGTCGTTCCACGATCGAGTCTTCATTCAACACCAAATATTGGCCGGATTCGAATGATGGAAACCGCCTCCTGGTTGTTCCTCGCAATTTTATCAAGCTTCCGTGCGGAAATTCGATATTCCGCACCACGCCTCGGTCGTCTTGATGAACTACTTCGGTCTCGAGTTTTAAGTCCTGCAAGCATGACCTGAGACTCGCGAGCTAATTATCTGAATGAAAACCTGCCGGCGAGGGACCATTTCGCGGCAGGGTTCTGATCTTCAAGCGAGTGAAAGCTGAGTGGATCTCCCATCGGGAAGAGCTTGAAGGGACAGTTACGGGACAGCGGCGGATTCATGGAATCTCTTCTCGCCTCTCAAATACGATGGAACTACTGTTGCCGCGAATCTCTCAGAGCTGTGATGGACCCCGAAAGGCAGATTTGCGCCGTCGAGAGGCATCGAAGTATCTATTACGTTAAATTCTCATCGAACGCCACCACAGCGAAACTCCGCCAATTCGGTTCCTTGAGCCCGGAAAGACGGCGACTTCCTACCCAGTCGAGTTTTCACGCTTAATCTAGGATGGAGAGCTGCTGGAAGCAAGACTACTAGGGGTTTAACGTCAAGATGATGAACTTGTGGAACCCGAGCCTCACGTATTCATTTCATCAACTCAAATCCGAAAAATCATGGAAATTCATCTGCGCTCTGATATCCGCCTAATCTGAGAGGGTGAGGCTGGCGAGAATGATCGACCCCTCATTGTCCCATCGGCAACCGTGCTGATGATCGCTGCGCGGATTCAGGAGCATCGGTATCGCCGAGCGAAGCCAGAACTCTGAGCGTCATCTGCGGAACCGCGCAGCAGCGTTGACCTCGTCCCGATCGAGGATTCTGCTGCTGACAGGTTCACCCCTGAGGATCCGGAGGTTGCTTGCGCGATGACCGATCCTCTGGGTAAATGCCGACGGAAATTCCTCTGTTTTCCACCGTCAGCCCCAGCTTCCGGCGTGGACAGTTGGCGTTGTCTCAGTTCTCTGAGAGAGCCATCTTTCGGTCGAATTCGACACGGGGAGTACACTGGTCCCCATCTTGAAGATGTGACCAGCCTCCGGCCAAAAGAGGAATTTTTTTGTGGAGCCCGCTCATTACTCACGAGCATCGTTCGATCTACTCTCTGATAGATGCTCGGATAGAATTCGCCCGGTGTCTCCGCCAAACCCGTGACTACCGCTGGCGGCCGCTGGCGGCATGACGCCATGACTCGGCCGCGGGATTCCGTGGAGCTCCCGCGACCGCGCCTCGAGGAACTTACATTCCGGTCCGAATATCGAGTTTCCCTCTCACGCGCTACGGAGTACGGCTTCTCGAAGTTCAGCTTTTCCGGGATCGACGGTTCATGCCGTACGAGCACAGGAACGCCTTCCCCGTGGACCTGGAGTCGTTGCTTCTGAACTGAGCCTGAGCCCTGGAATTACTCGAAGTGAAGTCGGGATAGGAACAAAGAGGCCTGTCATGAAGAGCGAAACCCGACGGCGTGCCTCGGCTCTTGATTCTTCCTTTCTTGCCAGCCGACTCACTCAGTCGTCGAGCAGCCGCCAGTCAGTCAGCCCTGCTCTCAGTGAGAGAATGTGTGTGCGTGGCAGGTGTGGCTAAATCCAGTGCGCTATTTAGTTAAGCCGCCACGAGAAGCACGGAGTGCGTGAGCCTCAAGGAGATCACGATCATCCTCAAATCGTTGACATCAAATTGCCGTCAGAGAAGGATTAAGATACACCACACCGATTCTCCATCCCCATCACGCTCTCTAACCCGCTCGCTCGTCTGCTCGCTCAGATTTGCTCGTTTCTGGTTGGCTTTCGATGGAAAGCCTCGGCCGCGCCCCCCCGGGTCAACGATCCGTTCGAGAAATTCCGCTTAGAGGTCGAAGTCACGTCGCTCAAGTGGTTTACCGCGCGGACAGAAGAGACTGTTCCGTCGGTCGTTATTTGCCGTCACGTCATCAGTGGCCGTGCCGACGGCGTACGTTGCGTGGCGTATGGCGTGCCATTTTCTGCTGCCGCTAGCCCTTGCACGGCGCGCGGCATGTCCACCTCCACCACGCTGTTCCTTGTCGTTCGCTGCATGGCGTGACTTTGCGCAGGTGGGAACAGCTCATGACGACAACGTCAACAACGGGGCGGCGCGGCGGTTACCCAGGTCCCTCGAACATTTTCTTCTAGCGCGAGACATAACGCTGAAAGCCGGGATGAGAGCCTATGCCAACAGCTCGTATGCCGTAAATCGAACGCTTCCACGACCATCGTGTCGTGGAACTCACTCGCCCGAGCAAGTTGTCCTCTCGCTGTTAAACTAGTCTTCTGAAAACCGGTATCATCGAATCGAGGCGAGATCCGAGATTTCTACGTCCATGCATTCGATAGAACTCCGACGATTCCTCACGAGTCGAGTCAATGGCTGCAGCGTGGGATGGATGCACGGCTCTCGAAATCGAGTTTCGTTGTAGCTATTGACCGTTAACCTCGAACGAAAACACCTCTTTGGATCGATTCGAAATGCGGATCATTTCCGCCACTTTCAGCTGGAGCAGGCACGCGGGCATCAGGTTCGTCGGAAGGCACCAAAGTAGACACGTATCGAGCACTAGACCGACAATCAATTTTCGGCGAGAGAATTTCGGCAACGAGGTTTCGTGTCCGAGCTGCGGAAACGGTCGAAGCATATGATGATCGTTTGGTCCAATCGAGGGAATCGTGGCCGGAAATTACTCTCGGATCTCTCTCTTGAGGCTACGACCTACCTATTCGTTGTGGTCGCATATCGTCGTCATGATATCTGCTTCTGTCTCCTCACCTTCTGCATCATTTCGAAATATCATCACTTCCGACGTGTTAACAGCTCACAGACCGTCTCAATTTTCTATTGTCGCACTCGAGAAGCGGACGAATATCTCCGCCCCGCGGTAGACACCTCTTGTCGGAACCAGCTCTAGGGCGTGGTTCTCTCGGCACGATGATTTACGAAGCGGGACGTCCTGTCGCTGAGAACGGGGAACGTTTCAGTATGAGGAAATTTTTATCAGGATAGCGGGATCCTTCTATGATGAGCCTTCGGTTCCCTTCGGGGAGAATAATCCGTGAAATCGAACAAGAGCACTCGAGGGAGGAGGAGGATGAGATCGAAAACGGGTGAAAACGGCATCCGCTGCCTCATTCGGGTTTGTTGGTCTTGCGGCTGGTCATCACGAATTCATTCTTGGCCAAGGTGGACGAGACCGACCCAATGCGCCGCCGGCAGTATTCCAGGAACATATGTTAATCCCTGACATTAGACAAGCCGGGATCATAAAGTAGATATAGCGGGCGCGTTCGGTCAGTCGTGAAGTTTAAAAAAATCTCCCTCGAATGATCCCGGCTCTGAGTCGCTCGAGGAGGTTGGATGCGGCCGATTGTTGGCGGCGATCGTAGGTATGATGTGCTTCTCCCCCTCATCGTGCAGTCGAACACCCTCACAGGAGCTCACTAGTCCCCACAAGTTGTATTAAAATTTATTAGCTGGCAATCGGTTGCCGCTTGGAGCTTTGAAAAGTCCACATCGTAAAGAAACCGCACAGGTTGCAGCAGCACAGGGAAGTCCGTTCGCCTTTCGCCACGGCTGACCTCGGCCAGCCATGTGGGTCGCGGAAGTCAGTTCGCTCTATGTACCCTTGTCGAGGAGCGAAATTCGAGAGCATGATTTCAGGATCGGATTCGCGGCTTTCTCATAGAAGTTCTTTCCAGGACAAGCCGGAATCAATCAGCTTGGGGGTGTTTTCATCAACGGAAGGCCGCTTCCCGATTATATACGGCGGAGGATCGTCGAGCTCGCCTTGATGGGAGTGAGTATGCGTTAATCATTATCCGTAGTCTAATCGTCATATGCGACGAACTCTCGCGAGGCAATCGATTTCCAGAGACCTTCGTTTTCATAAACTAAGCGGCCGTGAGGTTCTAGCGCTCGATCTCCGTGTCATCCTTGAACGACATTCTGGTTCATTTTCACAGGTTCGACCCTGTGATATTTCGCGGCAACTTCTTGTGTCACATGGATGCGTATCTAAAATTCTCACGAGATTCTATGAGACCGGCTCGATCAAGCCGGGATCAACCGGAAGTCCAAAAGGAAAGGTACATATACATCGGTCGAGAGAGGACGGATTTTCCTTGAATCGTATCTCTAGTGGATTCCTCCCTACATGCTGCTACGAGAGGGTGCAACTAAAGATTTCAGGTAGAGGTCAGCGTAGGCAATACAATCTGAAACGAGCGCAGGGATTGGCGGTAGAACGGCAGGATAATTTCCCTGGACTCGATCTGAGGAATACGATGACATCTCCGCACGGAGCAGGTGAGAACGTCGCGCGTCCTTTGGTCCACCATGATATCGCCGTTCGATAATAGAAATCCCTGAAACAGAGGGAGAGAGCCGAATTCATTCAGCAGTACTTTCACCGTTCGTGTGGCAGCGTACGGAATCGTATCACTTCTTTTTGGCACCAAGAGCTCCAGGTGGTTTTCTCCTTGTGATTGCCGGCGAAAATGGGCAGGAAGTCAGGCAGGCGCGCAGCCGGAGCGAGGGGGAGTCAGGGGAAAGGATCCAGGTTCTTTTGGCGTGGTGTGAGTGTTCCATAGGATAAGGACGTCCGTAATCCTCCAAATCCTTCTGTCGTCCTCTCCGGAAACGCTCCGCTTGCCACTCCTCGACCCGAGGCATCGCGGAGAATCGGGCGGAGCTCCGAACCACATTATGGATGCGCGCCCTCAAACGGCGAAAGAGAAGCAAGTTGACAGTTGTTCTCCGAAATCGATTGACTTCTCGCCGGAGCTCTTCCCCTCGACATGAGGTGGACGAGCCGAGAGCTCCAGGTTTCGACGAGGACTCAGAGCCTCTGAATTGAGGTGTCGATGAGTCGCAATGGGTTCAATCGGTTCGCCATGATTCTTGAAGAGATACACCGATTTCTGACCCCTGTTGGACCTGGATCAGAGCAACACGCGGAGACACACACACACACACACAATCGAGCTGTAGGTGAAGGAGGTGCGCGCTGAGGTGTTACTATCGGCTGTTTGCAGGCGACACGTGTGTCCTCTCCGAAGTTAAGTGGGCCAATGCCCACTGTATTGTTGGTAGAGGAAAAGTGCCAAACCACCCGCTCGCCTGCCCGCCTGCCACCCACCCAGTCAAGCAGTCATTTGTCGCGAGCTGAGAGACCGCCAGGAGCCCTAGCGACACGAGGGATCTAGATCACGCTTTAGTTGGTTCCTGATTTCTCTATCTAAGAGGTAGTGGCCACGGCCGTGAGTCGCCGAGCGAGAGGATACTGATTTCACGAATGACTTGTTTCGCTGAGAATTTCTGCTCGTGAGCAGTAGTTTCGTTTGGGTTCCCATCGATGTCGTCGATTGCAGCGGTCAAAAACATCATGAAGCTTGGTGAAGATTGCATCTAGCCATCGGATTAGATTGGTGGGAAATCTTGATCCGAAACGAACCCTCCACGGGGCAAGATGACTCTCGAATGGACTCAGGAAAATCTTGTCGTCTCTCCTAAAACTGTCGTTACTCCTTTGTCCCGCAGACACGGAGTTTCCCAGATGGGGCTGGGTGAGGCTCCGACGATAGACCTTCTCCGATTCCGGGTTTAAACCGTGAATTCTGATGCAGTGAAATCTCTTCCACCGAACGCCTCGTTCGACGGACATTTCGGATAATGAAATCCTGGCTTAGCGAACGGCTCTACGGAACGGACTGAGTTCGTCAATTATTGGTGTTCCACTGTGCATTGTTCTATTGAATTCTTTTCCGCCACCAACAAACTATGCGGCCCCCGAATGCTCGACGGCGACTCGCCCGGCGGCGTCGACAACAATCTGTGCTCGAGTCGGTCGTGAGGTGAAAAAAGACTGTCGGATTCCCTCCTGTTTATTCGCTATTCGAGAGCTCCTCCGACACGGATCATCGCGATCGAATTTCTACGGGGGAGAAATTGTTCCGATATTCTTGAATACGACTTGGATTCACTCCGAGAGATCCCGACCGATTTACTGTGAAGCTGAATTTAGCGCGAATCCAGAAATGAGAGCGATCCAATGATCGCTGAAGAGGCTCCCGTCTCCGACAAACTCAATTGACTCAAGGCTCTCCACCCATTGAAGAACGTCGTGGGAACAAATCCGGAGGGAGGAGCGGGATTAAGACCTCACGAGCAGCCGATTTGCACACTCCGGCTCACATGGTGCTACTTTTGTCCGAGTCACCTCTAGCGATGTCTCACCGGTGAAACACGTGATTTTCTCGAGCATTAAGGACTGCTTCAGGGGCTGCGCTTAGCTACATTTTCTGCTTCCCTTCAATTACATGGACCGTCACGATTCATCGATGAAGCCACTTCCCCTAATTTGTTGTTTGAGCATAGCCATGATCCGTCTCATTGAGTCTCGAGACTGAGTGAGAGAGCTATTTTGTCGGCGAGCCGGTGTAGAGCATAGAATACTCGGAGCGCACAATTAAGACCTCGGAGGCTAAACGCGAGGAACTCGCGTCCGGAGGAGCGACGAGAGAGAATCTTACTCACAGTTCACCGTGAAGAGCGCTCCTCGGTGTCTTTTGGTTCGGCGCCTCACGGCGTCAAGTCGCCGCAACGGCTTCAAAAGCTCCTTAGTGTCGGTAGAGCACCCAGTGCCTTAATAGCGCAGGAAGCTGAATAGGGGGAAAGTAGCGATATGAGCTGTGTATTGCGCTTCCTGGCTCGTTGACCGGCTATGATTTTGAGTGAGCGTAACATGTTGGCCGAGAACCCCACGTCGGCCTACACGTTACCGAGCCGTCAACAGGCTTCCCCAGCTCGCATGTCGTAGCTTTCGGGTATACTCGCTCGCCTGGGGCCAGACCAGCGGCAAGCAGCTGGTCGGTGAATTCGACTGCCGCTCGGGGCGGTGATCGAGAAGATTTCGGTACCTTTGAACGCGATCGATCGGGAAGCCGCCTCCCGGGAAAAGTCCAAGGAATCGGGCTTTTTCTTGATCATCTGGGCTGAAACCAAACGTCACCCTTTCAATTCATACGCCGGAAAGGCGATATAATCCGAACACAATCGGAATATCCGTTGAGCTCCGTACCTCGTCCTACGGAAGCCGGGAGCTTACTCTCGACGGTTCGAACGCGCAAGCAGAAGACGTGCCGACCTCTAAATTCAGTTACCTTCTTCCTCCTGCTGATGTTCGCTCCCGATTCCCGCAGAAGTTCCAGCGGCGAGATCAACGCCTTTCGTCAATCCTTTCCTGTTGATGAGGTCGCCATCGAGTCCATTGAGCGCCATAGCTCCTCTGAGGAACCACGATTTCAGCCTCCGGAATATATCCGTAAGAATGAGTCCTCGACGTAGTCCAAATCGATGATTCATCATGAAGTGGTGAATCCCTGCGATGCGATTGGGGGGCTCCCGAATTTGACGCGAGAACGAAAATTTCCAGACAATCCCGCAGGCCAGAGACGTCTCGCCGTCTACGTCAGGGGATCCGCAAATCCCAGCTCAGGAAGCGTCGAGCGCGTCGAGAAACGCGAAGAATTTCTCGATTGATGCAATCCTCCAAGTTCAACAACAATTCAAGGCTTCGAACGACGACAACCGCGGCAGAGCGCAAGGTCAGGTTTAGAAGTACATTCATCTAAAATCGGATCTCTAACCCTTCATTGAGTTGTCTGACTCTACGGAGATATAAACGAAAGGAAAAGAGACTCTTCAGACAGAACATGATTCCAAGTGACCGGCTCAAACGGAAAGCTTCATCCTGTCATGATTGGTGTGGTCCACTAAGCAAGTGTTTCGTATTTGAATCCAAGAAGTCTTCTGTGGGGACCTCGCAAGGGAGCCGTATAGATGGGATGATTCAGTCATAATTTCTCTCCAACAGGCTCGGGCAACGTTGACGAACATTCTCGCTTCAATATCGACCTACACTCGCGCATCGCTGCGCACTGGCTCGGACTGTGGAACACGCATTTCTTGCGACAGCCCCTACCGATCAGCTTGAGGAGAGATGAGGGCAAGTCCGACGATGCGGACACTTCCCAAGATAATCCAGAGGTCACCAACGTCGAGGATGAGAACGGGAGTCGCGAAGGCTCACCAGAAGCACCGGACAGCACCCAGAAGGAAGAAGAAGAAGTCGACGTGCTCGGAGTTGACAAGTAGATGAGGATACAAGAAAAAGCCGAAGAAACTCCGAGAACTTACATAGGTTTCCAATACTACCTACACGATACCCGTGACATTATCTCGCTCTCTCCCAGCGGGAGACTTCTATTCAAATAATTCTGCCCGGGTGTATAGAAACAAATAAGTCGAACAAATTCGCTTTCTGCGAAATTCCAAGCAACCGCCTCTAGTCAGAAGATGGAGCGAATCCGTATCCGATAACCCTCAGATGATGATTTCCCAGAGTCTTACTCTCGTGGAACAATGGAGCATAGATGAGGTTTTGTAACATTTAAGACATCTCGATCATGGTAGCGAAATGACTCTTACGATTCTGTTGTGAGCCCCAAATGAGGTTGATCAGCCGCTCGATAGTGCAATAGTCGATTGCGGGTAGTATGAGCATCTATCGTGATCTCTCGTATTCTCCGCTCTCCCTCCCTAGTCTGTATTGATGAGTCTGGTCACATCATAATTACAGCGCGGAGTGATTCTGATGTGTAACCTTAATGCGCTCACCGTTCTCCAGAATGATTAATCCCGCGTATTCGAGCTTCCGGCTCACCCCTTTTCCTGTAGACCTTCCCTCATGTAAAACACCCGTACGACCGATCCGAGCAATAAAACCGGCAGATTCGTAGCGGATCATCATCCTGAAATCTCCCCCAATCTCGAATATCCTGGTTCGATCTCTTCATTATCGGCCTTAAGCGGATCCCGAAGAATAAAAAAGTCTTCTATCGCAGCATTTCTCTAGGTAGTCCCGTACGAGGACTTGAGATGGAAACAAAGCTTTATTCGATGAGAACTTCTCCTCGAGCATAAACAACGGCTAACTAGACAGGTTCCCCAGATCCTCGTCAATGGTCATGATGCTTCTGCACATAGCGCAAACCGCAATACAGACACGACTGGGTGCCAGGTTTATCCAGATTGATGAAGACCTTCGGGTGTCCGAGGGCGCCATCGCCTCCGTTGCAGAAAGTTTTCCGACTCTCGACCTCGATTGGAGGCACTTCAGCAATCAGTTTGATCGCATGGTTCGGATTCACTTGCTTCGGTCTTCCGACGAACCTGCGGAAGAGGAATCGTGACGAATTTTTCGCGTTGATTTCTTCGATCCGACTCTTGATCTTCCTTTCAAATCGACTTGATCTGGCTCATACCAGAGAGTATTCACTCGGGAAGCTCACACTCTTTGCTACACCGCAGGAAAACAGCGGGATCCATTGGGGTACCGGACTCTCAGAGAGTCAGAGAGCTTCTCCACCTCTTTGAGCGTCCGGAATGTGAGTTGCGAATCCTCTACCTGACACATCATTGGCACCAACAGTGCTCCCTCGAAGCACTCGAGAAGATTCGGAATCAGCGCGAAGGAAATAGGTGTCGCCAAGTCAGAGATAAGATCTCCTAAACCCCGAAAGGGTGGCGGATGAGCACTTGCCGGAACACGCAAGAAATCGCCGGCTCCACATACTCTTCCACAGTTTCCGGAGAAGTGAACTCACCGAACATTTCTGAAGTCCTCCTTATCATATTTCTGACCAGTGTGAGTTTCTACTTCGCTTTTCGTCGGTGTCAGAGAGCTGACACATCGAGTGCTCCGGCTGGCTATAGCTCTGAGTCCTGAAAGGCAGAAAGGCTCGTGGAAGCTCTCCCGGTACATCAGGTAACAATTGAGCAGGAAGTCTGTCTAGCATATCAATTAGGCTGTTCGGAAGACAAATGCTGTTTCTTGCCATTCTCTCTGAATCTCTCCCATCTGTCACGGTACCGAATGGAGGCTCCATTCGACGATTATCGACTGATTGTCCTTCCGAGAAAAATAGCATGGTTGCCCAAGTCGGAATTCCCTTTCGTGAGACTGTGACTGCGGGGTTTATGGTTGGCTGCCTCCCCGCAAGTTTTCGTGCATCGAGGATGTCAGGTGAAACGCGGACTCCGGACATGACTAAGCATCTGTGTTTTTCCGACTCGGACTGACAGTCCGCTTCTAAGAAGCTCCGCGTCCGGTCCTCGGATCGACCAGCTTCGAGAGTACCGTTATCAGACCTAAATACTGTTCATCCGTCCATGGGAGTATTCTGAGCCCGAGTAGTGACTGTATTGAGCTCGCGCTTTCGAAGGGGATCTCGGCCATTCTGAGGTTGTTATGATTACGGTCCTCAATGGTAAGATGCTCGAGAGTCGAGTCGCTTAGTTCAGATCCTCCGATTGAGAGTCTCGGGGGGCTCGAAAGCTGATTAGCTCGGTTCGGTGAGATTCCAAGGGTTCAACTTACCGGTCACCACTTTGAGAGCTGGAGAAGACATTTTTTCTCCCACTGTTTACTCCAGATGAAGGTTAACCGTGCAGCTGCTCGTGTTCCGTCGTTTAGCGGTCTCTCCGGAACGGAGAGGGCCGATTGCGATGCTGCTGTGAAAATCACCCAATCTCGTCGAGTCCCGTTAAGCGCGATCCATCAATTCATCGTCTTTCCTGTGAGGACTCGGCAGTCGTCGATATGGATGCATGGACGACGGCCGTCAGAATAACAGACTCTGTGCTAGTCCGTTATTCTAGATGCCGCGCAGCGCCCTCTAGCTGTGCAAGTCCCAAACATGAGGTCGGTTGGTGGCGGATCGAGCGAGCTGCGCGGTTTTCACGCGAGCCTACGTTTGGGGGTCTGGAATCCTCGCGAAACTATCCAGATGGAAAATCTCGGGAATACTGACCAATCATTTTTCACCCTCAAAATGAACGGTTATCAGATGGATCTGCTCCTTCCAATAAGGGTTGAAAACTTACATCGTGTGTCGGAACGATGTCCTCCATCGATGTTAGAGGCTCTATCCAACGGGTATCGCAGATTGAGGGGCGGGTGACTACAAAATGATGGTATTCATAAGCTGCAATCTGCTCCGCACTGAATTATTGAGCTCGCAACTGATTGATTCCATCATTCATCGCGTCAGTATACGAGCAGTCAGAGTCTCAAAGCGAATGAATGAATGAATGAGTCTTCAGCTCTAGAGTATCAGGGAGTCTGATATTTTCCACAGAGATGCCCCGCGCGAGGGAGCAGCACACCTGCCTCGAGTGCTGGGAATGTTTTTCGAGAACCAGTCGTCCGATTGATGCTCATCCCGGGCATCAGTGTGTCTGAGCCGCAATAGACTCAGGCCGCTATGATTTTTTACCCTCGGACCTAATTTTGATGGGATCATCGATATGAGCCTCGCTATGAGCGAATATATCGTGCGTATCATTTATTCGAATTACGAGACACATGCCATGTCGTTTCGGGATAACTCGATGGACAACATGGAGCAAAGCTCGATGTCGCTTCAGATTCCGGTGTGTCTTGATTCTGTACATTCGCGAACTACACTGGTATTCACCCGATTATGATGGTGAGCATCGGAAGCACCATCGGATGAGGTCCGATTGGAATACAGCCGCGATCATTCTTGATCTTTTGGGAAGGTTCTGCAATGAATCGTTGGTCCCGAGCCTTTGTTGATTTTTTCTCCGTCCAAGCTGAAACACCGATTTCTTTCTGTTCGAATTTGATCGACTGAGTGACTCCACTAGAATAAACTTCGACACCATATAGAGAATTCGTATTGATGGGTAGCTCCTCCTTCCTCGGCTAGCGATTCGGCGTTCGGAATAAATATGTTTCGAGCTGACGGACACTGAGTCACAGTGGTGGATTGTCACTGAGCATTTAGTTGAAGCTGATGAGCGGCCAATGGTCGCCATTGCCAAATGCCATTGTCTCGACAGGTGAACATCCCGAACAACTGGTTTAGAGTTGAGTGATCGAACCCCATCAGGAGGGCGATCAGAGCCTCGCTTGTTCCGATTCAGATGGTTCGGAGAGCAGGTTCCCGGAATGGACGTCAGATGCCCCATGGAAGACTGAGTCTCCCGAGCCCAGCGGTTCTATGATGCGTTCTTTCGCCACGATCTGCTTTGTCGCCTATCGCGCTCCTCCCTCACATAAGCTCATCCCGAAACCATAGTCCAGAAGGCTGACAGGGACTTCAAGGAGCTCTTTGTAAGTTCACCTATACCCGAATCGCTCAAGCTTGCGGAATAAACGTCAGCAATATAGTCGGGAGTTCCGTGCTCGGTCTGGGGACATTCCCTTGAGGCATATATGGAAAGGAAGGTCCGCGACCCCGAGAAAAAAAGCTCGCGACCCTTGACTGGCCACCCTGTGTTTCCGAGCCCTCATGAAGGCCCAACGATCCATTCAGAATCCCCGATACCCTCGAATTCCCGACCTCCTCCGAATCCATAGATCAATAGGACTTGATCCAGCACCGAGCAGCGTGATATTTCGAGTTCTGCAAAGAATCCAGTCAACTGTCGTCCATCTGAACAAAAATATCTGCCCGGTACTGACTATCCGAATATCTGTACATCGTCCCTGAGTGAGCGACTCCCACCCGCCTATACACATGAGACATGGCTGAGCATTGCGGGAAACGCGGTCCCCGGGACCGCACTCGTGTGCGATTTCGGCCCAATTCCTCATCCGGAAACGTCGGCCATCGAACGCGGCCGAGGGCCGCAATTACCGGACGCGGCTAAAGAGGACGATATCCGCCCCACAGAATTAAATCCGTGCCTTGGGCACCAGAATCGAAGAACAGCGCACCTTAGAACCACATGGGTTTCGAGGTCAAGTAGGAGGGTTTTTCGACAATTACTTGGTGGAGGGGTAGGAGATAAGCGGAAAAACATCTACTTGCACACCGGGTTATCGCTCCGCAGCCGCCGAATCACATGTGCGCCGAAATTGGTGGCGCGAAAGAGCAAAAAAACGGCTCGGCAAAGGAAGCGCGTGCGTTCTTATTCTATAGGGGGTATGTCTGCGGGGAACCGCGAGGCACCACACGAAACCGCAGTCGAAGACAGGGTCGACAGAAATCCTCCAATGGAACCCCTTCTCAGTTCAGTTCCGGACGAAAATTGATCGGGACAATGTCCCGTTTTGCAATCTTCCGACCCAATCCTCGTGATAATCCGATGCCTGCCAGCGGAGATTCAGCCCCGCAAAAGCGGGGTAGATTTCGCTGCATGGAGGACGAAGTTTCTTGGACCGGCTACTAGAGACATTTTAAAGACGTTTTCACGTCAAAAAAATCCGAGGCTCGTCGTACCGTCAATCCTTTTAGCGATAAATTTTCCTCCAATTACACTCATCCAAGTCGAGATTGATAGGAAATATATCAATATTCTTTCGGGAAACGTAGAGCGAGCCTTCGTGCTCTGTGCTTCGCCATCAGTTCCCTCAGGAAGCTTCGAGAAGCGTAAGACACGTTTGGTTCCTGTGCGTCAGTATCATCTCCATCGAAATGACCATGCAACCAACTGCTAAGAGAACTCGCTTCCAATGGAGAATTAAGGGGCGACATTGGGAGCATCTCAACTTGACTGTTGAGATGCTCCAACGCAATGATAAGGAGTAACTCTTGATAATTTCAAGAATACCGCGAAAAAAAATACCGGCGAATCGTCAACGTCGAAAACAACCATAGTTGCACTCCACGAGCCACGTTGACAACCCATTCCCAGCCGGCGAGCGAAGCCAGCGCCCGGCTGGTGATCAATATGCTTGCATACTCCTGACCATTGCGGTAACAGAAGGCATGACGAACAAAACGCTCCATGGACCCACCGCTCGATACGCATCATTCTCGGCTGAAGAAGTCTTGAAGTATCGCGTTGGAATGAAGCCTCACACCAAGCGTTCACATTTGAATTTTCGAGTTGGAGGTGGCATATGTTTTTTCGAAAGGTCTTGGCCTGACTAAGAAAACGCTGCGATATTAGCGTCGGACCGGCCGGGGTGTAGGGATAATAGCTTTTCCGACATTATCCCGGAGACCCTGAAGACCGAAAGGATAGAAAAACAATATTGAGAGAAGCGATTGAGCATGATTTCGACGTCAGAAGTTTTCAAGCTATCTGACCCCTATATTGCAGGGTTTCTTACGTAGGCCAAAGCCTCCCGGGAGAACATATGTTTTCTCCAGCTCAAAAATTCGAGAGTGAACCATTACCAACCCGAGAGATTCCCAATGGTCACTTTCCGGACTACACACCACAGCTCCCGAGTGTTTCACTTCTTTTCTAACCCGGAGCCTAAATGTCGTGAGCACCGCCTGAACCAGTGGTGACGGAGGAGACGGTCAACATCGATTGGTGAGCTGCGATAGCATTCTGAGCGAAACGAAATAGGCGAGACCTCCAACAAGCGACTACTTAGCTGCGGAGCTGAACACGCAGTTTCCTCGATAGGATTCTGAAGGATACGCGCATCTCCGACGTCGTTCCTATCGAGCGCTCCTGGTCCGGTTGAACAAATTGCATAAATCACTCCGAACAGTGCCGGGAAATGGGAAAGGACCATTATCAGGTCAGGGTGCGCCAAGGAATTTAATAATCAGGATGAGGAAGCGGATCGGACTCCTATGTGCGGGATTCCTCGCCTCGATCGTCCTTGCTAGGAACAGTATCCTCTGATCGCAGATGGCTCCTCCTCGAGGCGGGAGAGCGCGAGAGAACCTCTACGGCTCCCACAAACGAGGACAAGAAGGAAGGTGGACGGAACTGGCTCCCTGCTCTCGAAGTTTCCCTTGAGAAGCTTCATATCGACGTTCTATTGGGGCCTCGGGATCCCGTGCATCTCTGAACATTTCGAATGACGAAAGGGGGATGACAATATTCGGAAGACAAGTTAGCACTGAGCAAGCAGGAATTGAGTAAACTTCGGGTAACTGTATCAGTTGTTTGGTGAACCTGCGTCCGACTGGACTATGGCGCGCAATTGAATCCTGAACGCGTAGTCTGCGTGTGCGTGACCCGCCAGTTCGTCGGGAAGGATAATACAAATTTTTACAACCGAGTCGTCATTGGCATCCATCAAGGCCAGAAGGCTCCTCCAGGACATAGATTCAAGCGGAGCGAGCCTCGCGGTAGTTTCTTCAGCTGCCTCGTCGAGGGTACATATATGCCTTGCATGTTGCGGATGCGCTGACCTCAGGTCGATTTCATCTGTGACGCGACGATTAGGTACGTCATTATGATGTTGAGGACCTGCAATGGCGACCCCATAGCAGAGGACGGAATGCCGACAAGTTCCCCTTCGTTTCACCGCTTCTGAAACCCACTCACACTCAGTATGGTCTCTTTCTTGAAAGTGAGGAAGCTGAAGAATGTGTATCCAAAAGTACAGCAGTGAAATCTTCTCGTGAATTGGGAACTCAGAGCGTCGAAGTTTCTGTCCTTGTGCACACGGCAGTTAAGGATAATTTGAGGCCTGTGAGCCTGCAGGCGAAGAAACTTCCGTTATGCTCGTCTTCAGCTCGTCTTTGAAGATCTGCTTTCCGGTAAAAGAACTTCCAAAGTCGGAGTGCCTCACGTTCTTGTGTATCACCGAAGCCAGTATCAAGAAGGTGGTCATGTAGGAAAATTGACCGAGCGAGTAGATCAAGGACTGTTTCGTGGCGAAGGGGT